GCGTAACCGACGAAGATTAGATACGTATCGATTCGACGACGCAACTTACGCAGCTTTCGTCGGTTTCGTCGAATCGATAGGTATCTAATCTTCGTGAAGTAGTCGTCGGTTACGCAGCTTTCGTCGGATCGATACGTATATAATCTTCACGAACTAGTCGCAGAAAACGCAGGTTACGTCGACGTTGACGACGACGTCGCACGGTATGAACGCAGCCTTACAAAAAATCTAGGTTCTAAATATTTTGCCACACATCAGGCCACGATTCAATTTTTTCTGCGGGAGCAATAGCAAACGAGAAAAAGTATCAGTTGTTGCCTTGGCAGCCGTAAATGTTTGCCAGTTCTTGAATTTTTCGTGTGAAAAACTCACTATTCCAATTTTTATGCTTGTTTGCTTTGGTTCACTAGAAGTTGTGAAACGCCTGCGCAAATACGACATTTTTTCGGTCGCACTGAGAAACGCACGGCGACAGCATTGCCATCGTTTTTCTTTTTAATGTAGAAATTGGGATGGTGCGACCACCGCTGTTTTTTTTAATGTAGAAATGCTTGGGATGCTTCGACCACCGCTGATGTAAGCATGGGGTTTAGGGTAACAAAAACCTGTAACAATGCTTCCCCACGCCTCATTTTTTGAATTTCTGCACTTTGAAAAGGGCTTCGATGCTTACAATTAACTTTCATTGTGCGGCCGCTCGCTGTGAAGCAAACAAAAGCAGCACGATTTGGGTTACAAAACGCAAAAAAAGAGCATAAGGGGGGGGGGAAGTTGGATCATGCGCACGGCTTTTTCCAAAACTTTCTGTCCTGACACCCATACCGCAATCCATATCGTCGGAAGGCGTAACTGGGCGACAAACACTTGAGAAAAGGCGTACAACAGCATGGCCAAGAAGGATCAACCTATCACAAGCACCACGTATACCTTGGATCGCAAAAAAAGAAAAGATGGTTGTGAAAGGGATTGCAGCGAGGTAGGAAACCTGGGGAGGGCCAATTTTTGCACAAATTTCAGAATGTGATGCGTACTGCCCGAAGCTTACTCCCAAATTTAGGCAAAAATTTGCAACTCCTTTGTGGCTATCCCATTAATGCGTAAGATGCCCTCCTAGATTTATCCCGCTAGCCCACTCCAACCTCCCCCCCCAAGGCACGTTCTATGCTGGAGCTAACGAGGGGAGGGAGAGGGCTTGAGAAAAACATTTCTGGTTGTTGACTTTTCTCGGTGTTTCCTATTTCATATGCCTCGCTGGAGGAATAGTGGGGGATTCTCGAAAAAAAAAACTCAGCAAAAGTCGTAGAAAGTTTAGAAAAGTTAGGGAGATGGTAGGTAGAGTGGGGATGGGGGAGGGAGAGCTACTCATACAAGAGAGGGAAATTTCGAAAGGGCCACACATGAATGTCTGCAACGGCAGGACCTGCCCTCCTCCCATCCCTTGTAGTGACAAGATGACATGAAAAGAATGGGCATGCATGAACATGCGGCACCAACTAGCCAGTTTGAAATAACCATAATACCAAACTAACCTGTTATTAGTATTGAATACATGATGCGCTTGCTCTTCGCAAAACTGCGATATCATAAAATCCATTGAGAATACAATTTCAGACTAATTTAGCGATTATGCGATTTGTACAAAATAATTGTTAGGAGAACTGCGTCGTCAGTCACGTAACCGATTGATCATTCGTGAAGGATTCTGAAAATTTCGAATTCTGTCGGCTAGACCTCATTTACAAACACGACACAAAGGCACAAGCGATTAAAAGCAAACCAACTTTGACGAAGGGAAATACAGCGACGACCTAACAACCAACCGACTTATTAATGGAAATGTTACGAATGTGTCGACACCAACGGTATTTAAGCTACTCCTGCTATCACTTATCAAAGTAGATACTCCCGAGAAACAACAACCTTATCAATGTGTCCCACCCAGGTGATTGACAGCCAAGGTGGTTGTGAGACGCGACGCAGCCGCAACGCTGGTAATGGGGCAGGTTGTGGCAGTAGTCCAACTGCCGCAAACTTGGGTGAAACGAGAGGAAGGTTTCCTACATCCCTTTTCCTTACTCCCTACTGTCTTCCTTCCTCCTTATTACCCTCCCTCAAAATGCTCGGTCGGTAGATACGATGAAAAAATACCCTTGCGGCGAAGGAAGTCAGTTGACAGAAGCTCTCTAGCTGAAAGGAGGAACACAGTTCAACCAGGTGTACGAGATGACGTTTCACCCACTATCTTGATGGCAGGAAGATCGGCGCCTAGGTCATTTGTTGGGGAGGGGGCGTTGTACCGCTCCAGCCAAGGCTTGAGGTTGAAGCGTAGGTATCGCTCACCCACCCCTCCCGAAACAAAGTTAGCAAGTTGGCGTTAAAAGCCTGTATCGTATCAGTGTCAGTGACGGTTACAAGGCTATTTTCAACCTGATATGCTCTCATTGCGAGGGTGCGGAGGTATTTTCTCATAGTATCAACTGGCCCAACAGTTCAAGGGAGAAGCAGAGAAGGAGGGAATAGGGAAGGAAGGAAGGAGGAAGAATAAAGTGAGGAGAAAGGACGTTCCACGGCCGACAAGTATCCTGAGACGGTCGGATATTGAGAGGGCGTGACGGCACACTTTGTGTCGGGGTGATGGTGGCTGCACTCCTGATGGGATGTTTCCGCCTTGGATAGTTATAATCACGTCTATGTCCAGCCAGAGAAATGATTACCGCTGCAAGCTAGGATGTCCGTTTGTTTCATGGAAATTTCCCACTGAAGCGCTTTCATCTGTTCAAAGGAACACCCCTCTCCATTCACACAATAGCGATTATTCAGTAGGGCGCAAATGGCTCACAGAA